AAAAACCTGATCAGCAACTGGGACAAATATTCTAACCTGCTCTTCCATGACTTATTAATTAAGGAGGTATAGTTTAGACCTGATAATGATTTGTTACTGTAAGAAGTGCAGTGATTTCTTGTATCTCTGGTAGGGGCAATTACGACACATTTATATGACTCAAACATTTCCTTAAATTAATGTTTAATCACATCACATTACATGTCTAAGTATTATCAGGTGCAAGTAAAAAGAAAATCCTTTTTATTACTTTCTATGTTCTACATAGTCAATTCTCTCCATTTAATCTTATCTATTATACTCACAAGCTTGGCTAATCAAACAACAGTACAGAACATGGTTTTACACTTCACATGGACAGTTACCCTTTCTTGGCAATGAATTACGTTGTTGAAGACAGAATTATTCTCTTATTCCAAAACATCATAAACTGGAAATATTTGAGTTGGGCAAAATATTTTGGCCAAATTTAGCATGCAGTTTTTCCCTACTGTTTTGGACCTCCTGTAGCCCCTTAAAACAAGACACAGATGTTTAGCAATGCATTGTCATCTAAGTGAATTGGTCACAATTCACATGTTGTTTCCAAAATGCAATAGGAAAATAAAGTCACTGGGTGAACCAAGCATGTGTCTCTGTGGTTTTTAGTAACTTACTGAAATCCTATTGCAGGAAAATGTAGGACATAAAAATTCTAACAACAGTTGGTTTTAAGTGTAAGGCTGAAAAATTTCATTAGAATAAAGACTATTAGGTGAAAAAGCAGTAGCGATTTTTGTATTTTTAACGAATGGACACCTACTGCTTGTATTTCTCCTAAACACATATGACTGTCTTTTCTAAGTGCTAGGAAAATTTTCCCATTTTAAAACTTCTCATGCACAACTTCAACAGAAGTCCCATTTGATCACTGAACATTGACCACTCTTCACTCGACAATCAGTTATGTTTGTGAAGACAGAATTGTACGCTCTCTCCCTAACTTACCAGAAATGGTAAAGAAGTAAAACCTTATTCTTGTATAAATCTTGAAGAAATAACTGAGTAAAAGAAGTAATGAGCCAGGCTATGACTTGTTTAAAACACTTCTTCATGTTTGACTTCTTTTGTTTAATGTCCTGTAGAAACATCTAACTCTTCTTAATTTTGGAAAACTGTAATTATCTGAAGCACCAATTTTCTATAAACTGCATGTGTGTCATATGAGCGTGGAAATATATTACTACTTTGGTTAAAGATGGTAAAATGCTATAGTTAGTGTTATCATAAGAAGGAAATGAACAGAGAAAGCAATCAGTGAGTAGCTACTGTATTCTGATGAGTTTTAAATTGAATGTTTTTTTCTGTTACATGTCAAATTTGTAACTGATTAAAATATTCTGTGCTACTAACAAGTGCATATATTAAATATCCAACTTCATAAAAAACACTGAAAATCCTTCTCCCCAAATATTTCCAGCTTGGTAGGAGCAGGCAAAAAAGCATTAAGAAATGTAAACACACAATAAAATTGCAAATCCCACCTGATGATCCAAATACAAGGCATTCCTTTGAAGGTGATGTGAAAGAATCTCATTCTAGCAGGCAGCAATCAGGGGGAAAAGGAAAGGGACAGAAAGTGCAGAATGCATGAAAAGAGCTTTAAAAGATGTAAACCAGGCAGTGATCTTTGTTTTACATAAAAATAAAATACTGCTTTTATCTGCCCTTTTTTTTTTTTAAGTGATTTGGTGAACAAGTTTTGATCCTGAAACAGAAGCAATGAAAGTTTGCCATGAATCAGACTATGAACTACTACATCACATTTTGCTTTTACATATAAAATACATTAAGCTCATGTAAATGTCTACTACATAGATGACTATAAACCCTTTGATAAATCCGTGTTTTAAACATGTCCTGATTTTTGTGCACAAGTTAGAAGATTATGTGTGATACAAGGCACTATAAGCAATAAATTAATCTCATGATCTATCACTACTAATTTTGTTTATAACACCAATAGATTAAGAACCTTTGAACTTAACTATAATACATTTTAAGATATTCCTACGTAATTTTGACTCTGCTAATTTCAAAAAGCTATGAGGAAAACCTCAAAGGGTTAATAGCGGAACAACACATACGCAAAGAAGCAATGTTACTCTATTCTACTCCCACAGTAGTCAGAAAATTTTGCACTAACAGTACAATGTAAACTTTGATTAATGAATGACTACAAGTTAGTGAGAATGGTACATGACACACATTGCTTTATAGCTGACCTTTGGGCTGCTGGCCTCAAGTTTTAGTTGCATGAGCTGTGCTAGTGTGTGTTCCCGGATACTACTCAGTTCAGCTTGCTGCCGTCTCAGCTTTATTAGCAGCAGCGTGAGCTCCTCTGGCTGAAGGAGTGCAGTGTGAGAAGCCAAAGAGTAGAAAAAAGGTTAATTGGTATCCTAAACATCACTTAATTCAAATAAGGGTTCTTAGTATGTTTCTTACAAAAACTTTCTTTAGCGATACAACAAAATATAGACAGACCATTTTTCCCCAAATTGACCACTTTCAAATACATAACAAAGGGTTAATTTTTAACTACTCAAGCCAATCAATACTGCAAATGCTATAAAAGTGAACCATTTTGTAATAAAGGACAAAAATAAGTAAGGATTTTGTAGGAGAAAGTCTGTGCAGTACTTAAATTTTTCCTGACATGCATATCAAATTAATGATACTGACTTAAGTGAAGGAGGAGATAATTCCAGCCCTTAAGATATCATTACCTGTACATAGCCATTTCAGCTTGGTGAAAGAATCAAAAAATGGCCTCAGGAAGATTTAGTTTCTAAAATAGTTCTTCAAATGCATGCATGAAAGTTAGGAGTAAAAATAATAAAAAAACCTCCACAGTAGCTGTACTACATCACAAACAATCACCCTCCACAAAATACCGCACAAGCATGACAAAAGTAATTTTCCATCCCATCCTAAAGAGATCTGAGGCTACCAGCTGATTTACTGCTTTGCTTTTATGACTGAGATGTACAATACAGCCTTAGGTAATAATGAACAGTAGTATTTAAAACCCAAGATTATATATGTCATAGAAATAAAGTCACACTCCAATGGGTATTTGTCAGGTAATTCCACACAGATCAATTTAGGTCAGTTTGGGAAACTACCTGAACCAGTCCTGGGAACCATTTCTATTAGAAATACTTCAAAGAAGAAAAATCCAACACTTAACAAGTATTTCTGTTATGTTCCTGTTTGTTTCTTACACTTCTCCAGAAGTCAGTCTTATAAGAGGTTAAACATTCAGCATTTTTGTTTTCTCAGACCTGTGTGTTAATAAAAACCAAACCCCAAACACAGAAACCCCCTAAACCACCACTTGCTCTCTCCCACAGTCACAGAATTTCCCCAAAGCAAAAAAGAAAAGGTCCAGAGAACCACGTATTGAATTACTGAAAAACGAACACCAGTTTCTGAGAATAAGCGTGGCACTGGCATCGTTGTGAGTTCGTACCAAAGTAGCCCACGAGAGGGAGCAAGGGATTTCTACATAGCTACAGTTGTCAAAACCAACTGCTTTGAGGGAAAAGCAACACCAAAACCAACCAGTCTAATGGCCCATCTTCCTCTTACAGAACTCATTCAGTACCTGGATTTAAAATACCTGATTTCAGAGAGTAAGCATAGGGATGCAGACTGCTATAGAAGACATTTTCAAGTTCTCTCAAAAATCAGTGACAATTTTCAGTCTGAAAATGAACATAATTTCAAAGCACAAACCCCCTTATTTTTAGAAATAAGGGAAATAGCATTTTCAAGCAAAAGGAAAAGTGGGTCACTTTTTCAAGATGAAAACTCTTCTCATAATATTCTGCAAAAGCCCAATTTTAGTGCATTAGGAATGGTACTTACATCCAGTGTTTGCAAGCAAACTTTTTTCCATAGAGGAGCCCATCGAACAGTAATTCCCACTCCTCTCTAGAGATGCATAATGTTGCAAACATTTTTGACATTAAGTGCTGCGCTTTTGATACAGCTCTTGGGACTCTTACAACAATCGCAACAGAAAATTTTGCAGATTTCCTCCTCTGGCCCTTGCAATGCTTATGCTGCGGGCAGGACCTGTGGTTTCTGCAGGCAGAAGCTTGGGCCTCCTTGCCCCCTGCCTCACTCATCAGCCCAGCTGATGGGGCTCTGAACCCAAAGAAACGTCTGAAGAAAACAAGGCGCAGAGATAAGGTGCCAGCTGCCAAAGGCCAACCCCTAAGTTGCTGAAGGTGCCAGGGATTCATGCTGGGAAGTGCAAGAAACAGGGGCCGAGGCAGTAGAAGGATTGACTGGGGAGCTGTTCCCCACAGCATGATTCAAAATCTGTATTATTACTCCCTAACACTCTCAAATAGTCATTGCAGATGGACAGAGAAAGATTACAGAAATGAGACAACAGCTGGTAAAGAAATCACATAAATTTAGGATCTCAAAGCTTTTGGCTAAGTGTCGTGTTTCAATTAGGAAAGTGGACAGTATTCACCATGATTACTTTGATGAAATAACTTCAATGATAATTTCAGCTCTACCACAATAAAATGGGAGATGTCAAAAAGGACACAATTTTACCAAAAGCAATTTTAGTATCCTTAAGATTTCCAAAAAAGGTAAACTTTACTTCTAAGATTTTCTAAATAATTGATTGAGAAATTAGTGTTCTGTGATGTATTCTACTTTCTCCCAGGAGTTTCTGTAATGTATCAAAAATGCTTAAAAAAACCCATCCAACTGTATTTCTCAAAGAAAATCTGGACTCAGTGGCTACACAACACTCTCAGAATTCAATGGACCCACAGAGTACTACTTTATTTGCTTTTAAAATCCCTGATAATAATTAAAATAAAGGCTACATTTATTGAAATCTTTGAATAGAATAAAATTTCAGTGTTGCCTCTCCATGCTTAAAGGATTATTCCTAAAAAACCCCTGATGTACCAAATAAAAATGAAACTCACTGTTTTGCCTTGGAGGCTCTGAGGAGTAACAGGCTGTAAACTCAGACCTGCTGGCATTGACCTTCTGTCAGGCACAAAGACATGCTGCACAAAAACAAAATAGCACAGTATGATCCATAGTTATCTGAAGACTCAAAACCTATTAAATGCTAAAAAAAAGAAGTCAAGCCAACTTCAAGTCAAGCCATGACAAACTTCACAATCACGATAAATTTGCTATGATTTGTGCTGGTTTCGGCTAGTTGTACTCCCTGCTGATCTGCTATCTAGGACACACAAGTAGCTTACCTCTAAATTTTGAAATATTCCAGCTTTCATCTTTCATTAAATTAACAATCCTCCCTCACAGTTGTTGCCCTACTGGTAGCCAGTATAAGCAACAATTTTTGGTTTTTACCCACTATTGAAAGCTGTTTGAAAACCTAAGCTCTTTCTAATAGATTGGGTTTAAACCTTAAATTTACCCTACTGTTTGCAAACAGTCTCCTTATTACCCACCTCTAAAAAACAAGTCTGTGTTTTTAAGTTAATGTCAAAAGCTAGTTGTGTAACAAAACCAAATACAAACCAAATAGCATGAAAAACCAAAGGCAAAGAAATCTTGTATAAAAGGTAGTAAATATGAAATTAAATACTAGCATAAAGTGTTTCAACAAGGGAAAAATATATCAGAAAACAAAACATGGCTGAAAGGACAAGTGCACACATGCTCTGTGGCACTGACCCTACTGGTATTTCTCAGATGTATGAGAAGCACTGATTATTAAATTTTTGAGACACAAAGGATGTCAAAACAAAATTACTCCTTTGTAGATAGGGACCTAAAAACTTCCAAACCCAAGACTCAGTAGCCAACTGGAAGTTATTTGAACTGCTTTAAGATATAGCTGAAGGATGTTTTTTTTCCCTGTGTCAAGAAACAGAGACACCAGAGAGAAAAATGTTCAGAAACTTTTTATACAAACACCAGTTTTACATCCAACTGAAAGAGTAATTTTATGTAATTATCTCCAATGTATTAAAAATCACACGTAACACAAGCATGACGGATGCAGCAGAGCCACATACGGCAGCCAGGTTTACAACTGTTTCATGTCTCCCTCTCACTGATGAAGACCAGCAAAGTCACCCCAGTCAAGCGCCAAGGTTGTGCGTAAACAGACTCTGATCTATAGCGATCTCCCTAATAACTCAAAGGCATCAAAAGAAATAGCTGCACTGTTTTCTGCTGCCACCCAAGGCAGCCAAGCTTGTGGCTGAAGAATTGAAAACAGCACATGGAAAGAAATCTGGGATTTTCAGTCCTCTCAGAGTTCCAGCTAAAAAAAACTAAAAAGGAGAAAGATTTCTGTACATACAACAAACTGTTCTGAATAATCTGCCTCTGGACTCCTTTTCTTTCCTTTAGAGAAACATGATATCATGGCCAGTAATATTAGGACAACATGCTTTCACCTAATGTATTAGAAAAATACCTCTTTACTACCTTTAGATTTTGAAATGCTTTAAAAAAATCAAACCTTTCTCCCTGAAAACAGTGATGTAACTAACTATTCTGAAATGTACTCAGTATGAGTACTTCTACTAAAAAACCTTGTAAATAAGATTTTTGATGATTAAAAAAAGTATTTTTACCTTAGTATGATGTGTCCGGTGCCTGCGATCAATAGTTACATCTCCCCTTTGCACAGGTGAAGACACTTCTGATCTGTAGGTCCGCTGTGGGGAGTATCCTTGGAAACCAGCGATTGAGCCATGAGAAGGTGAGGTGGGAATTGAATGCATTGTCTGATCAGAAATATTAATCATAGTTTTTGGGCTACTTAAAGTACTGTGTCTGGTAAGAGTTGTTTGCTTATTGTAAAACTGACGTTGCTGCCATTCGTAGAGCTGCCACATTGTGTCATCACGCATTGACCTCCGTTTTTCTTCGGCTGTTACTGGTCCTATGGCTCTGTCATAAGCTGATGGTGTTATGCTGCAGAGGCTCTCTGGCCGTGCTTTGCTGTTCCTTGGCAGTGTTCTGTAGCCTTCTGGGTACCGGGGTAAAACTTGAGGTCGGTGGCTTGGCATGTTTCTTGGTAACGTCTGGTATGAGATTATGCTGAAACACAAATTTTCTTTATATTAGTGGAGAGCATTAACATTATGGCAGTGCAAAGTTTTCTAGTGCTGGTTAGGTTTATCTAGCTAATTCTTACTTTTTTTTTTTTTTTAATACTACAAGTGTCTTTTTAAAACCATGCAAGAAAATCAAGACAACAATTAAAGTATCAACTGTACTGATTGAATGCACTGTAGCAGCCAAAACTGGATCTCCTCTCTGATTAGCTGCTTGATTATATAATCCATATTACATCTCTTTACCAGTTAAGAGCCTAGTAGTATCAAGTTTAGACTAAATCTTGTAACTTGTCTATATGCTGGATAGGTCAAAGTTTTGAAAGCTTTGAAGTTGTATACTGTTTCCATATGAGCCCCTTTTAAATGTTCTCTTCTTGGAAAGTGAAAAAACCCTCCTGTTGTTTCCCTAAGAAAATCTTGAGCAATTACAATGGACATAAAAATTTATGATTTTTTTAACAGCAGACCAAGAAAAAGTTGCACTAATTGTCTAGCGAAACGATATTCCACAACTGTCAAAGACAAGCTATTCCATATCAGCTATTCAAGCGAACCAAGTAGCAAAATCACAGAATCATAGAATGGTTTGGATTTGAAAGGACCATAAGATCATCTTGTTCCAACTCCCCTGCCATGGGCAGGGACACCTCACACTAGACCATGTTGCCCAAGGCTCTGTCCAACCTGGCCTTGAACACTGCCAGGGATGGAGCATTTACCACTTCTTTGGGCAACCTGTTCCAGTAAAGAACTTCTTCCTTATATCTAACTTGAACTTTCCCTGTTTAAGTTTGAACCTGTTACCCCTTGTCCTATTCCTACAGTCCCTAATGAAGAGTCCCTCTCCAGCATCCTTATAGGGCCCCTTCAGATATTGGAAGGCTGCTATGATATTATTATGATAATAATACTGTATTGGTTTTTAACTTGGATACGAATGCAAAGGCTTCCTCTTTAATTTGTTGCCACATTAAAATTCTGGAGTGCTACAGCAACTCTCAGCATTAGTTTAAATGCAGAATTTTCCATACTGAGTATTAATGCATGCCTAAGTATGACAAAGCATTTATTGTTTTTTTTTGAGGACAAAATCTAGGTCATAAACATTGATTCATTCAACCCTTATCTAAAATTCAGATGAGCTCCTCTTAAAGCCTTTTGCTACTAATCACACAGCTGATTGATAACTTGCCCCCAGATAAGTCTGATCTCAAACTGGACTTGATTTAGCCATCAGAGGGCAGCAGCTTCTAGCTACACCCCAGACATTCAAACGTAAAATCCCTGCCACCACCAGGCACCAGAATCTGAAGATGGTTTTGAATGACCTAGTGCCACAATTAAAGACATGGTGTAGGGCAAATAGCAAAGTAAACTAGAATCATGCATGTTAGATCCCTATGGAATAACTATCAAGGAAACTGACGATGGTGAAACCCACTTTTCACTCAAAATAGTTAAACTGAATATGACCACCTGTAACATTTTGTAAATGAAAACTATTATAAAGAACTTCACATGCAAAATCTGCTACAGTTTCTGAAGCTTTCCAAGAAATAATGAAGTATTAACCCCATTTTGTAGATTGGACAGCTTTCCATTCTCACCAAAACAAAAAAAAACAAAACCAAAACCAAAACAAACAAACAAACAAAAAAAACCCACAAAAAACCCCCAACCAACCAAACACCCAACCCCGCCCCAAAAAAACCAAAAAGGAAATGGATTCTACATCCTATTCTGTTGTTGCAAAACCTGCTTAAATACCTCTAAGTTTCTTCATGTAACATACCATTAGTGATGAAGGCTTTTGTCCATCTCCATATTTAAAAAAACAACCAATCTAGACACCTTTGGTTCAATTTATAACTTTCAAAGTATTATTTTAGCTGTTCACAAATGGGTACAGTGAAGCCTGGTATTTTTATTTATAAAAATCTAGTAGCTAGATACATCTCACTCACTGAAGCTCCTCTCCCATTTTACTAATTAAATGGGCAGTGTAATCCTGTTGGCACCTTTAAGCAACCTGGACAAGTTGAAGTAAAGCTGTCTGAAGTTCTTGCTATGTAAAGATAGCAATTTAAAGTCTGCATACAATTACTTACATTCTATAACATTTAGAAAGAAAGCATACTCATCTTCTATTGGTAAACCATGAAAACTGCAAAAAGCCCAACTGCCTCAATTGATAAATTCAAAACAGATTCACCAATGTCCTGCTGGTATTTGCAAAAATGTCATTCTAATCAAAGCCAAAAAGCAACTCCAGAGAGTACTGCAGCTTGTGGCCACCTTGCACACAAGGGAAGACTGCTGTAGCCAGTCAAGCAGTCATGCACACTGTGAGGTTGCAAAATATTTCTGCAACTGTTATCATAAATGCTTCCTACAAATCTGCCCGTATGAAAAAAAAGGCTTCCACATGAGTTTACAGACTCCTTATAGACACCTTTAGTGATTGTCTCTAGGGTTACTGTTGGGTAGCAATACCGGTTCTGGCTTCCAAGTTGTACTATATGGGAAAGCGACCTCGCTGCTAAATCTTTAGGGGTTCAGTTCTGCAATGTTATGAATACCCTCAGACTGAAGCCTCAGAGTAGTCCTTCATGTTAAGGAATGAAAATACCAGCTGGTCCAGAATACTGAACTTCCACATGCAAATCAAGCAAAGGTTGGCAAGGTGAAGACTGAAAGCTGGTGCTGTACAGCAGGCATTTATTATTTGGAATGAGGCTTACACGGGCAGGGTGGGGAGACAATGGCTCACATCGTAGGTTAGCAGCCACAAAAAGCCTTAGTAACATGCAACCCTTCTGTATTTTTCTACTTTTGAGAAAGATCACTCAAGTGAGCCACTTTCGGTGAGAACATTTGCTCATAACTGACTTGCGCAAAATAAATTCAATAATATGATACTGAGGTGGAACGATTTTATTTTTTATTTAAAAAAAAATAATTTTATTTTTGGTTTAAAAAAGATTTATCTTCCTCAAGGTATCAGTTGTGTTTATTTATTTGGCTTTTGCAAAATACTACATGTCTAGATCCATGGAAATGGCTGATAACAGCTTAAAGAATTAAGAACTACTCTACTGTCATTAATTTCTCAGTTGATCAAACTACTAAGGGGTCAGCCTGTTCCTCTAAAAAAATTAGTAATTTGACAGTGATTCCTTTTCATTTCATACTGAGAACAGCTAACAGCTCCTATTTTGTATATAGTTACTTAATTGAACCTGTTTGATAACATTTTAGTTTTCTTAAAGTTCAAAATCTTTTTTCAGTCTGACACACCAGAGATACTCAGTTTGGTCCTCCATGGTTTCTCTAACACATTAGAGAGACAGATAAAATGGAAAGCATATTTCTTAAAAGTCAGTAACTCTTCCCCATTAAGTGAAGAGTACTATTCTCAAAAATTCAAGTCGAGTTGAATAGGTCTTACTACAAAAAGCCTTACTAGTCTCTCACCCCAACCTTAAGCTTTAATATAAACTGGAGCTTCTTTCTACTCTCATCCACTGACTTCAGTTCTACTTAAATGTCTGTCTCCAGACAGAACTGGTAGTCTGAATAAAAATAAGATTTTAAATTTAAATGAAACCACATTGTAAAGGCATTGTAAACTTGATCACACGACTTACATTGAGTATTTCATGAAACAGCACATTAACTATTCCTAATTATATTACATTAAGGACTAAAGGCAATGAGAAAATGTTCAATTTTGGCAAGTGTAAGTCAAACTGATGTAAAATTTTCAAGTTTTTGCAAAAACTGAAAAGCCCTCAACCCCTGTGTTTTTAGATTTGTGGAAAACGCATTTTCTGAATGTGGCTCTGTCTTAGAGCCAGAATGGAAGCTCTGTGTCCTGCTATCTATCTATATGCAAACTCCCTAATTTCAGCTCTTAGAAATATCTCCTGTGATATCATCTCCATACTTCCCATCTAAAGTAATATTAAGAACTTTTATATTTTACTCCTAGTATCTAATTTATACTGATTTTTTACTCCTACTATCTATATTTATACTCCTTGTATCTAAGCCAGCCTGGAAGCAACGTACCTACACTCCTGTCAAACAAAGAAACTGCTATTGGTACAAGATTCAATATTGTCAATAATTCACACATAATTTTAAAGCTTCAGGAATAAGCACTGGAACTCAGTATTAGAACTGAGAAGTGTTTGATTTCATGAGAAGAGAAGCTCTAATCATCAAGTTAGTTAGATCTGTGTGACTTACTCTTAGGTAAAGCTTCACTCTCTTCAATTAAAGCTTGTTTAACGTTTAAAAGCTCTCAGGAATATTTTTGAAGAATTTTAAATAAAATACTATTACAAGAATTTGTGAACAAAAATGTAGAGCACAGGGCAATTTCAAGAACAGATTTTAAGAGGAAAAAGAATTGTTATGATTGATGAAACCTCCTCTCTGTTAGGGAAGAGAAATTTATAACACCCATAAAGGGTTTCTGGCCATTATTAAGTTCTTAATATGGATAAATTTATTAATTATCATTCAAATGTTAATAAAAAAAGGAACTGTAATAAATCTGTTCCACGCAGTCATCCAGGCACTTCTTACAGAGAACAATGAATTGTATATTTATGTAATATAGACCAAAACCTAAAGAATCAAACCAGGGTACAAGTCTAAGTACTTTCTTGCTAGAAAGTCTAGGGGGAAAATAAAATAAATAACTACATAGTACTTACCCTCTTGTTTCCTCCTCTTGTCCTTTCCCTCTCTGTATTTTAATCCACTGTTCCAGTTGCAGCATTGAATTAGTTCTCTGCATAACTCGTTCAGACTCCATATGTGACTGAACCGCATTGTGCTGACCTCCATCTCCAGCATCTGCCAGGACAAGCCCAACAGCTTTATTCTCAGACCCATTCAAATGAACTGGTCTGAAGTGTCCAGCCTGAATCGTGCTTATGGGTAAAGTCCTGTATTCTGATCCCAGAGGATTTAGCTTTACACTATTAATTTTCGTTAATGGTTTATCTTGCCCAACTTTCTGGAATCCATATTTTTCGGCTTCCAAAGCTTTCTTCTCCTCATTTTTGTTCACTTCTTTATTTCTTTGGTTATTGTGTGCCTCTGGCTTAATTAGCACCCGATGGTTTGAAATATTATTTGCCTCTCGAGATGGTGTATTTTCAGTGGTTAACTTCTCTATTCTGGAAAGAAATATAGGACAAGCTATAATATCAACAAAACAGTCATTAAAGAATATGGATAAAAATTGAAAAGTGAATATATTGATGCTTATCAGGATTATTTCAGTAAATCCCTGGTCCAGATATTTTACACCAAATTTTCTCTTCAAGGAAAAATCCAGGTTGTATTTTCACAATAATCAAGGACAGGTTGAGGGTTTTCTTGGTGTTTTTAGTTTTGTTTTTAGTTTGGGGGTGGTGTTGTTTTGGTTTGGCTTTTTGTTTGTTTGGGGTTTTTTTTGGTTGGAAAGCATGAGTATTTTTTCTTCCAGGTTTCTCTATTTCTTTGTTATTTTAAAAACATTTACAACATGGGTAAACTTTTTAAAGCCAACTTCCAATTAATCCCCTGGAAAAAACGTGCACAAAAGGAAATAAAGCCAGAATCTGAAAAACTGGGTGTTCAGTTCCTAAATGGCTGGACATTCAAACAGTGAAAATATTCAGTGACGATCCAACAGCTACAGCTTCCAGATGTCAACAGCCTGAAATTCAGATGATTTTTAAAGCCATCTTTAAACATGGTAGCAGATTACATTGCTGACCAGCTTGTGATTCACAGTACTGCTGAATTGAACACATAATGAGCTCCTTTAAAGAAAGCATGCAACTTTCCATGGTCAGTGGCATCAATTAGGTTTCTCTGGTATGTTATCACTTTGGCTGGCATACATTTTGTGGAAAATAACTGTGGCTTCCTTAATTTTAAGGGGGAAAATCGCTGCTGACTTAGGGAACTGTACCACAAAAATAATGGTATTTTTAGAACAGTTACTGCTTTACAGTACTTAAACAAGTATTCAATATATGCAGTTCTTTTAGTTATCCTCTTTTCAAGATTTTAGAGCATCAAGAAGCTGTATCTTTTTCCATACTGGGACATGAACTGAACACACAGATGAGACAGTGACTCCTCCCCCCGCCCTGTTTTTTACCAGGAAAAAAACAAAACCAAAAAAAACCACAACAACAACAATCACAAGAAAAAAGAAACAGAACCAACAAACCCAAAACAAAACACCAAAAATCCAAACCCTAAAATGTTTTGAATGACATTTTCTGGTACAGGACAAAATTAAAGGAAGAGATACAATTCTTTGAGATTATATCTCTGTATAAAACCAAACCAAGAACAAAACTTTAAGATGATTTCAAATTAACCTTTCACATTGTTTTGCATCTGTTTTTGCAAATGCATTATTCATCTTTATAACTGTGTCCAGTTCCTTATTCGTGTGTAAAAAGGCCATTACATACACAACTGCCCAAATGCACAAGTATGACTGCTCCTCTGAAAAATATTCTAATTCCAAGCAAACTAATTACATACAAAGCAGTAAGTATTTTTGCTTACCCTGTCTTGAACAAGAGGCTTAGATGTCCAATATGCCTACACTTCCCCAACAGGTTATTTAAGCCATAAATTCCCAACAGGCCAACAACTATTTGGGACAGAACCCCACCAAATATGTAAGGGACTGAAAATTGTATGCTCCTTACAAAATACTACCTACTACTACTAATATTGGACACTTCAAATGCTGACACTTTAAATGTACCTCCCATTATTACCCTACTCTTGCTATGAATTCTCCATGATGTGAAAGGAATCCAGAGACTCCTGCCTTGACACGTACACCATTTTAAACCTGTGAGTCAGAAACAGCAAGACATCAATGTCCTCTGCATAGTATATATCAGTTAGAACGAAAGGCTTGTGCACTTTGCATGTTAACAGGGGGTGTTATTTTTTTCTCCTCATGCCACTTCCTGACTTAACTGTTGAGGATCCCAGTCTCTGCTCAATACTTCATAATGTTATAGAAGTCCTCCAAACTTCACTCTATTAATATAAATAGCTCAAAATAGCTCTCTTCTTTCAGTGATTATTCCTTAGCTGCTGATGTGAAAGTGTACACATCACAGATACTGTGAATGAAAACATTACGTCTATAAAATACACCATTCAAGAGCGAGGTGTTCTCTGTTCCCAAGACCAAATATTTCTGCCTGTGTTCCTTCTCAAGGTTATGGAAAAAACACACCTGTTCACATCCTCGCTCCTACCTCAAAATCATACTACCCACTGTTCTACCACAAACTAAAGGAATTCCCTCAACAGGAAAGTGAATGGAAAACTCTGTTCTCCACAGTTATTGACTCAAAGGATGTTGGTGTTAAAATTCCAGTTTTCAGCCAGCATTCAAGAATTTACAAATAAATGTAAGGACTACCTGACAAATAATCCTAAACTTGGGCATTAATATATGCAACACACCTTAATAGTACCACCTACTCCTTATATAGCACTTCATATAAATTTTTCTTGAGGCACTTTACAGCAGAGAAGGAGTTGCCATTTTACAGATGGAAAAGCTGTGGTGCAGAGGGAGAGTGGCATCTCTAAGGACAGTCATCAGATATGTAGCAAAGTCAAGACTTGGCACAGTTTTCAATTCACACTATCCCACTACTTTCCACTGTCTGTCTTAATTAAAAACCAAGATCACAGACCTGTTTTTCTGTGCAATCTCTGTGCTGTACTACTTGTTAATGTGGTTATAGACAGCAGACACAAGCATTTATTTTTGACCTTTTTTGTGATGGTGTAGAGGCTGAGTGACTGACATTCAAATAGACTTCTGGGCTCTCCTTTAACTTTGTTTACCACAGACAACTCCATGTGAGTAAGATTTCTTTCCACAGCAAAGGATCCAAATAGGAAAGAATTATCAGAAACTAATAGATAAATGTAAAAAACATATATCCAGATTTATTTTTAACTCCATATTTACATCTAGCTCTCAAAGATATACTCAACAAGACTTGAAGGGTATTTTGATGACATGAGAGGGAGAAGACGAAGAGAATGAGCAGTGAACATGTATTTCAGCATACACGGAATGCAATTTATAGATTTCTACAACCAAGCAGGAATAATACGTGTGGAACAGTAATACAGGAAAAGTACTATTTATATATTTATTTATATATATAAATAAATAATTCTAAAAGGGTCAGGTGGGGGCATGTAATTAAATATCATGATATAAGGACATAAGGACTGTGATTTAACAAAGCCAGGCAGAGGCATTTGAACAGAAAAAGCATCTTTTCCAAGCACCATGACGTCAGTAAACCCCCGCTGTGGATGTCGCTATGCTAACAAGTGCTTTTTTGGCAGCCTAGCTTATGCTAACTACATTAGAAGCAGGGGAACAAAAATAGTCTTTTCTTAGTACATGCTGCATCACTCAGAAGAAACAAAGGCCCCAGACGACACAGCTGACAGTGAAAGGATAGAAAATTGACACTCAAACATGGGAGAGTAGAGAAATCATCATTTAGGGTAAAATTAATGAATCAGTATGTTGGCGGGTATTAGCAAGCAATTGATGTTCAGATACAATTTAACTGTGGTCTGCAGTAAGTGATACAGCATGGAATGAGCAAGACGTTTTGTTAATCCAGAGTGGTTGTTTGAGCTCATATTTTGAGTCATAAGCTTAAATAGTTCCTCATTAAGTATTTGTGTTTAATTACTAGGATAGGTCTCTCAATATATTACTAAACTTGAATTTACTATCTAGGCAAAATTAAAACAAATTTTTCAGAAAGGAGTAACTACAGTTAAGTCAATAGGACCAAATAATATCTGCTTTTTCCTGCAGTTGTACATCAGATGTGAGTTTTTCTGCTGTTACTGCAAAAAAAGAAATGGCTACATTTTTATTTTCTCACCCCAGCATCTCATTTCTGTATTATGTGGCTAACTGTATGTGGAAAGCAAGAATATTTTATGGAAAACCAGGAAAACCCCCCACAACTTCATGCTTTAAATATTCCTGTTTTTTTTTTTTTCCTCTTCAAGGAACTAGCATCCTCAGAAAAATAGAGACTGTAGCTCTGAAACGATTTAAAGCTGAAACATTCAATTTAAACAGACTGTTGGGTTTGAATTTCCAGAGTACCATAAGCAACGCAGTACCTTGACTACTAGATTTAAAGAACTATACTGTAAAAACTCTGACTTATCGTCAGGCCATTTATATTAACAAGCACTTAAGAGTGGCTCAACATCAGCTTGCATAAATATTTAAGGAAGTAAGTTCTTAATAACTATTAACTTAATAGCTATTGTATCATAAGTATCTAGTCTGTTAGTAAACTGTATTCAGTATCATGTTAGAACCTTTAGAAAAAACAGAACTGAGGAACAAAGGCACTGGCTGAATTTGACTGAACCGAAATCATTTATGCTTAGAGCTATCGGCATGCCAAACTTTAGGTTACTTAGAGATGAGGTAATAAAATACTTAACAGATTTTTATTTATTTTTTTTTTTTAAACAGGGAAGAACCATTATTTCTTCTGGATAAGATCACATCCTACTGCACTGTTCATTTTAAGAACTGGTTTAATAGCCAATAGATGGATTCTCTAGAAAACGGATGTCTAAAGGATTTTCTACCTTATTATCGCTAACAGACGTGAAAGCTTTGAGTCTACACTGGTCTTGAAATGTATTTTCTCTCAAGTAATTATTTCAAGGTTACTAACAAACTTTTTAAAGAGGTCACTTTTACTTCTGGTTTGTTCTAAGGTTTCTTGCCTGAACTAAACCAACAAGATGGTGTTACTTAAGTCACTTCTTTTGTTGCGTTTCTTTGCTGAAACAGCGTATGTTGCAGTGCTTTGGCTGTTGGCAAACCCGTCCTGCCTGTGATATCCAGGTAGAAAACTACTGATTTTGCTGCTGAGTGCTTTTCTGCTTCTTTACAGTTCTACACCGATTCAACAAGGAGTAAGATAGGCACCCGAAGCAATGTAAGGCAGACTGCAGGTGCACATATAGTTGGATGAAATGTGGTAGGAAAGCTCAGCTGTATTAGTAATCTTCACTGTTTTTCTATACACTGCTGAACACCTGAAATAGGCAGCCATCAGTGCTGGAACAGGCACTGCAGCTCAAAGAGTGGGGTAGAAATGCATTCCCAAGCATTTTGGGAGGGTGGAACACCCTTAACAGCAGTGGACTATGCTGATTATCCTGTTAGAACAGCCATGGCACTGCAACCTAGAAGGACAACTAGCCTGCAAAGGTGCACTGGGTACCACCGTGAGCTCATTACGTGTCTTCTCAGGCTCCAGGCAGCAAACGTGACTATACAGTTGTATTCATGAACTGCACGGAACAGTGGTTATTTACATTAACATTTTAGACTGCTTCTTATGTTAAAAGAAATGTCACAAGTAATAATGTAACATCTGCCTATACAAGTTACTAAATATCTTCTACAGAGCATTGACTCTTAGGGAAGAGACTGTGAAGATAGGGCTTAGAGCACTAATCCTGAGAGGAACAGCTGAGGGAACTGGGGTTGTTTAGTTTGGAGAAGAGAAGGCTCAGGGGGGACCTTATCACTTTCAACAACTACTTGCAAGGAAGATAGAGTGAGGAGGTGGCCGGTCTCTTGTCCCAAGTAACAAGTAATAGGACAAGAGATCTAATGGCCTCAAGGTGCGCCAGGGGAGGTTTAGACTGGATATTGGGAAAAATTTCTTCACTGAAAGGGTGATCAGGCATTGGCACAGGCTGGCCAGGGAAGCAGGGAATCACTGTCCCTGGAAGTATTCAAAAGCTTGTGTAGATGAGGCCCTCAGTCATATGGTTTAATGGCAGTCTTGGCAGTCCTGGGGTAATGGTTGGACTTGATGATCTTAAAGGTCTTTTCCAACTTGATTTTATGATTCTATGAAGATGACATTTATTAAGGACACTCTGTCAGATGGAGATACACCTTTTTTCACATTGTTTTCTACTACAAGGATGTCCTCTCAGCAAAGTTTCTCAGCATTGCTGCAATTCATTTAGCTCCAGTGTAGCTGGAACTAACAGAATGCAGAACAGACCAAGTGACATCAGCCATCAGCAGTAACTTCTGTGCCGTCAGTAATAAGGAGCTTTTAAATTATCGATTGGTGAGGTTTCCATTATAGATGCCATGCAGCTGACCTGAGGGACCACATTCAGACAGAAAACAATTTTAACTGGATAGACAGCAGCAGACAATATTCAGTTTCTGAGAATACAAGGCTTCCAGTGATAACTTGCTTTTCATTGACAATACATGAATACATAAAGGACAAGGCTCCACATCAGGTAGGTAAGTGTTTGATGACAGCTTAATGATGATGAACAGCAGCTCCTCACAGGTTGCCCATAGGTACAATTGTTTAATTTAGCCAAAAACTACAGTTGTGAATTTGAGACTTAATGACAGATTTAGGCCCAAGACTACCACCAGTTGAGCTGCTATTTCTATTCAGTCAGGAGAGCAGGGGAAGTCAAACATGCCTACACCTAGTATTTGTCACTGCATTTCTTTGGATGCCACTGGCTAAAGGAAGCAGTCTTTTTTTTCCTTCTAGACCCTTACACTCAAGGCACCCATATTCAGAACAGAACTTAGATTACTTTTGCTACTTTAAAATTTGATCCAACATTGTCATGTTAGTAAGGGATCTTCAGTATAAGGAGAAATTACTTCAGCCAATTTACATTCTATTTTAAGGTACACCCTTTCATTTAAATAAAGCAAACTACATATGAGAAGGAAATACATTGTGCCACTATTTTGTCAATCCACACTACCTTTTTACAGGCTCTGTCTGCACAAGTGCAGCATCTGTCATGGCTTTCATCCACAACTCCATTTCCTTCCCTGTATCTGTGCAGAAATAATAGGTCCTCATGTTTGGATGAGCTGCCTGATTGGAAATGACATGGTCATTGCAATAAAAATGTAAGATTCTGTAAAAGAAAAGAAGCAAATAATGTTACTGTATACTCACTCTAATGTTTTCTGTAGTAAAATTTCTGCAAATCATATTACCAGAAAAAATACTGGAAGGAATACTTCAATGTTTCTATGTCACTGCATTCATATTTTCAAAATAATCACCTATAATTTTCAATCATAGCTGCTTCCTCATTAATACACCGAATAAAAAGCCCTTAAATTTCTTCAATCTATTAAAAACTATCTTGACTATCCATTAATGCAAATTAATATAATTACTATAAGTAAGATTTTGGCATAGCTTTTTGCAGTCTGAATGATACAAGTTTTAATTTGTACTTACCATAGTAAATAAATGATGTATCGCTTAGGAGGCTAAAAGAGGAGCCAAAAGGAGCTCATAAAACAACAACAACAAAAAAAAGTAAAAAGAAAATATTTAGTAAAGTGATTTATATAATGATTAAAAAGATTAGCTGTGAAACCTAAATGATTCATGAAATACTATGATTTAAGTGATAATAAAACCTCATTTTATTTATATGTAAAGATACTTTGTATCTAAATAATTAAAGAACTTCCATTCCCAGAGTAAGTCCAGCTGCAGATGCAGTCTACTGTTCTAAAGCTCCACATAGTATTTAAGACCACTGAACTAAAAATAAAAGATTACTAAGTGACATTCACGCATTTTCTTATACTAGTAATTACACCTATATTTGCATCAGGCTAAATACTTGAATCTTCTGGTAGTGTTTTATGCAAAAATAATTCTCAGAAGCTGCCTGTCAATCCTATATTATTTAATTTTAAATATTATGTAAAATATTATTTTGCATAATAACTCCATAAAATGAGTTCTGACATAAAATTAAACTGAAAAATTGATTCCCTTACCTTAAAGGCATATTTGCGGTTAATATGGTCTTCAGCAGAAAGCATAGATATCTGAAAACTAGGTAGAAGTATACTACCTAGTATTCCTTCTTCTTTCTCATCTGTGAATATATGTAGTCTCTGATTAGAGAAACAATGTGTTTTGGCATCTGAATACACTTGTATTCAGATACTTAAGTGAAACTCTATTTAACAACACAGGACCATGACCAAGAAGTTTACGTCAGAAAAAAAAAAGCATCAGAGAATCAGAAAGCCAGACTGGCATGTTTCATAAGTGTCTGGTATGCAGTCTCAGAAGTGTGCAGACCACAAGAGCAATTAATTGTGCAGCCCCTCTTTGCGAACACATGCCACAGAATGCGTATGACACAAGCGTGCACCCCAAAAACCTGCTAAGCTCCATGAAACCTAGGCTATCAGAATATGGCCACCTTTAACTTTTCCCCAAGGACAAACTCAAAAACTCACTCCTGAGTATGGTAGCTCTGTAGAAGTTTAAGCACTTGAGCTACCTTATGGAATTTGCCTTATGGAAACCACTATGAAAATACTACGCCTAGGGTTTTTCTGGGGATCAGTGCTTACCTGCGTATGACTTCAAACCTGAAAAGCAGATGGAAGTCAAGTCTCTAATTCAGTGACAAGAACAGTACCCGCTATCTATTGCCTGCTCAGTAAAAACTGCAGATACCTATGAGAGCAGAAGTATTTTAAAATACTACTTACGATTTTTGGCCTTTCAGAAAATTTGCACATTCTTCTTCTGATATGGGGCATATTAAGCTACAAGTTTTTGTAATTCCCATGAAGAGTTTACACTCGATTACATTCTACTTGTAAGAATGCTTATGTTTCAGATAATTGGTAAAAAACAAACTCTCCTCCAAAACAAACACACTTTTCCAGAACCTTGTTTTACATAACATTTTAGAACGATACATTATAATAATAAGTTGACATTTTAATTGGAAGCCACAACCACCTCTGAAATCTAGTCGTACTTTATTAAAGGAACAATTTAATGCAATTCACAAAGTCAATCTAAATTCAGATACAGAACTTCTCTTTACAACCAGTATCTTAGGAGACTGTACCCTCTTAATACTTCTCTTATTTGAAGACATTTCCCACAACAAATGACTATGTATCTACGAAATTAAGATGAAAGCATAGATATTCCGAAGTGTGAAGCATGGAAAATTAATACTGCTACAACTAAAATACATTAAGCAGTACCAAAGGACTACCTCATATATGCAGATTTAAAATTTTTTTCCCCAATTTTCATTTACTCACTAAATTCTGAAAAGACCCAACTTTAAGTTATTCATATAGGGAAAGCTCTGCCCAGCCATTTTAGCATTACATGACATGTTAGATGTAAAAAATTATGCTTTTTGGAATAACTATTTACGTGGAGAACTAAGCATAAAATTATCCTGATCAGAAGGTAGAAAAAGGAGTGGATTTACTTTCAGGTACTCAACTGTACTCGTATTTTGCCTGAAACCATCCCGCCTCTTCTCAAGTATTTACTCCTCACTAGCTACAAACACACAAAAAATCTGCCTCTTTTCCCTTGCCCCAGAATGCACAGCAAATGTTGGGGTTTACTTTACTTGTATTGCTGTTTTGGGGAAAATTTCTCTTCTTCTGCTAGATTATACTTTGACTTATTACTGAATAAGTCATACCCACTAGTGCCATATAAAAGCATTAAGCATTTTTGTTCCACTGATCAGCTGCATGTGTGGAGGACTTTAATCTTTGTTAGAGACATATTGCTACATTCCATTTCCAGATTTTAAAAATCTGTTTCCAGTCAGACTAGCTTTTATCTACACATTACACTGCCCCATACCCATCTTTACTTGTACGCTGTGTATGAATAATAAAAGGGGAAAATAGCAGATCTGCTGTCCAGCTCTAAGTTCTTCTATTTATTGCAACAATAACCTTCCGATATGAAAGTGGGCAGTCTTTCATCCCTCCGTGAAACAGAAAAAGAGTACTCTCTAACCTCTGAAAAAATACAATGAACTGATTTTAATTTCCATAAATTAGATTTCAGCTGCTAACATTGTAACACAATTGTAAAAGTTCAGTAAGATTTACCGACAAAACAAAACCAAATAAACACCAATAAAAACAAACCCAAAAAACCCCTAACAACCAGAATTATTCAACCAGAAACACTGTTTGTGACCTGGGAGTAAGTGCATGGCTTCCCACTTCCCAGTTTTTCAATATCTGGGACAGAATCAACAAAAACATAAACCACAGGGTTTAGAGTGCAAGGCTGTTTTTTTTTTAAATATATTTTACCAGCCATTTCTAATACTTTTAAGACTATCACTATCATGTTTAATTACACTTTATCAGCTTTAACTGGTTCCAAGTGAGTGATAGCTCAAAGCTAAGTTTATTGTGTAAACAATTTAGACTATTCCGCTTGTATTTCAGCTTATTTGGCACACTAACATGTAGAAATTAAAGAGTAAGATTAGAGAGCTGTTTGGATTTATTTCATTTGTTGGTGGTTTTGCTTATTGCTTTTTTGTTTTATTTTGAGATCTTCATGTGCAGTGCTCTAAGTCAATTTAATGTGTTCTTAAGGCAGCTGCATCAACATTTTCTTCAGAACCTTTGGGAGAAAGAGCCTGAAGACTTGTTTAATGTAAGAATACCCTGTAAGAAAGGACAAAGTATATAACGACCACTTAACTAAACACAGTGTAACTGTATCACAATCGATGCCTCCATGACTGAGATTATAGCCTATTTTTGACTCAGCAGTGGTTTATCCAACTACATATACTTCTTGGGGTAAAGAAACAAAGCCTAATGATTGTATTTTAATAATTCAGAATTTGTTAACTGAAACATGTTTTGTGACCTGATTTGTCTTGATTAGGTTTTAGTAATGCTGAATGTTAATGGAATAGCATTTTAAATTCATCAGTCACTGCTTTCAGCATCACCAGCATCACCACCACTTCTACCAATTCTAAAGTCTCATCTTAAACTGAAACCCGTTCTTACCCTCTAAACCTGCAGCTAAGGCTGCAGATGGCCTTAACTGTTTATTTTCCTCTATTTTGCCATGCTTTACCACCCTCTTTGCTCTTAGTCTCCTTTAAACTATTATGGTTGTAGACCTTATTTCAGGATTGGATATGTTTCTATATGCACCAATCCCTTTTGTTTATCACTTGAGAAGCACTGCAGTTTATAATCTGCAAGGGTGAAGGAATCGATTTTCTAACATATGAATCTCCAGACTAAAATCATAAGCAGCTAATTTTTCCCATGTAAAATAAGTCTGATGTAGCTATGTAAGGGTACTAACAGATTTTTTTTGTTCCAAGTACAGCAGAGTTCTACACTGACGGAATTGCACAACATTTCACTTTATAAGCATTCATGAACACTAATTAGATTCTCAATAGGCATATCCACCCTCTTTATCATTCCAAAGGCAGAGTTTTGGCTCCCCTACTCTATCCCTTTCCTATCCCCAGTTCAGTTACTTAATTTGCATGAAAAATCAGATTTAACCCAGCATATCTAGTTCCTAGCAACAGAAGCAGCAAGAAAACTACAATCCAGAATCTAATAAAAGAGGTGGCTGTGAATGGCTTTGCCCTTTGAGCATACCTGACAGGCAGGAAGTAATTATGTGAAATTGGTAATTAAGAAAGAAGAAGGGGGCGGGGGGAGGAAGAAAAAGTAGCAAGCCTGGCTGTTGACAGCTATACAACTACTTTAATCCATTAAGTTAAGTAGTAGCTCCTCATTTCTTACATTTGAGTGGAATCTTCTTCCAGTAAAATTAGCAAAGAAAGCTCTCCTAAGTGGAACTTACCTCTATAATAGAAGAGACACAGATCTGAGAGCACAAACCACCGTTTCTTCCACAACTTCATTCCAGTACTATCCTGTATTAATCAAAGTGATCATGTAAGAACTTTCAGAACGTTAACAGTAATAGTTCATAAAGTAAACGAGGTACTACATAACTGTAATGGTGTGCTAGTAGTTAATTTTCTTGGTTGTGATACTTAAAACATATCTGATTTATCACAGATTTGACACTGCAAAGATCATAACCCAGGAAGCCTGAAGTTAATGAGGTTCAAGAATAAATAAGAGGCCATTATTTTATTATGCTACAGACTACAATCTATATTAAACATGCACACAGAGAAAGTGTACTTTCTTTTAGAAAGTAAAAAAGTAAGGTAATACTAGGGGTACCTCCTCCTTTATTTAATGAAGAAACTCTCCGCTGAACTTCATCTTCTACTACCACTCGTATCTACAGCAAATTTCTTTCCCAAATACAGTTTAATCCTAAAGCAATTTCATTTTCTTTTATGCTTATAACCAATTTACACAGTACACCCCAGAATGAAAGAGTGCCACCACTACTGCAGTGTAAATAAGCCAGAGCATTGCAGTGTGCACATCCTAGCAGAATCAGCTTTAATAAATATGTTAATCTGTTCCAAGAAAAAACGTACGTGTGAATTACCAATACTCTTGTAGTAAACAGGTTTTGAGATTGGTTAAGAAGAGGGATTCTATAATGAAAAAATGTGGGGTGGGTTTGGGAGCTGTTCTGCTTGTTTGTTTTCTTTTTGAGAAAAGTCAGCATAATTTTTAGCTTTGCATTTCAAGTTCTGCTCTTTCTGGGGTGGGGAATGAACTGAAGGAGGAAGGAGAAAGGGTAAAGCAAGCATTTGCTAGGAAATATTACTCAGAAAAAGTGGAAAACTCTACAAACATTCTAATAAACAGAACAATTGAACACTTTATAGCACCTTCCTTCTGAGGACCTCAAAGTGGTTTAACAAACACTAATGAAGTCTGGAAGCACTGCCTGTAGCAGTCAACTCCTATTTCACAGCTGGAAAGGCAGACGCAAGGAGCGGAGACTGCCCTCCTCACATCACTGACAAGGTCACTGACTCAGCAGCAGATTAGGATGCAGGACTCCTGGCCCAAAGGACACTGACCATAAAAATCAACTGTATGACGTGAATATGCCCAAACTTGTCCAGTATAAAGGGTTGTCACAAACCCTACGGCAGACTTTCTGAAGAGGCTGTTACACAATATCACACTCAACCTGTCACTCAGAAACACCAGGTTTCTACATGGCCACATGTATAATTCTGCCAGCAATGACATATGCTAGGAATGATCTTCCAGCCTTCTTCAGACATAGCAGAGGCCCACACGAAACAATCATGCAGTTCTTACATTTGAAATTATTTCCTGCTTTAAAGTACATCCTTTCTGTATCAGTGGATTTATTATTTATTGTTTCCTCTTGATTGTGATTATGCCATAATATGATAACTGTATGTTCACAGTAAACACCTTTCAAAAAAAAGAGCTGACTCTGGACTTGAAAATTAGCAGAAAAATGACAAAAGAATAGCATTACATGCAATGAGACAGCACACCCTGATCAAACAAAACTAGCTGTTCTCTGTGATTACATAAATATGCTAAGAAAGTGACTATCAAAAAGAAACCTGCACAAGCTTTCACTCTAAATTTGTGAACACAGTATCTATTGGTACAACTCTTGACTAAATTGCCTTTCAATTACTACTACAACATAGAAACATAACACAACCCCTTTCCTTAAAAAAAACAATCCAATACCAGAGTATTTAAATCATTTTAGATAATCCCTGTCCAATGGTATGCATTTGGACAGTGAGGTGGACTGAAAACTGGTTGAACTACCAGGCCCAGAATGTGGTGATCAGTGGCACCAGCAGCAGCCAGTTGCTAGTGGCCTGCCCCCAGGGATTGATACCGTGGCCAAGTTTATTCAGTATCTTCATTAATGAGTTGCACACTGAGAGTGCACCCACAGCAAGTTTGCAGATAATATGAACTATAAGGAGTGGCTGATACACCAGATGGTTGTGTTGTCATTCTGAGGGACCTTGTCAGGCTGGGAAACTGGGCAGAGAAGAATCTCAAAGTTCAACAAGGGGAAATACTCAGTCCTCCATTTGGAGAGGAATAACCCCATGCACTTCTTACACTGGGGCTGTTCAGCTAAAAAGGTACTCTGTGGAAAAGGACCTGGTGGATAAGGACCTGATCATGAGCCAGCAGTGCATCCTCATGGTAAAGGCAGCCAACAGCATCCTGGACAGCAGTAACAGTGTTGCCAACAGATGAAGGGAAGACATCCTTCCTCTCTAGTCAGCACTACTTAGGTCTAGCTGCAGTGCTGGGTTCAGTGCTGGGCTCACTCGTACAAGAGAAATGTGAACATACTGGAGTGAATCCAGCAAACAGCCACAAAGATGATTAAAGGGACTGGAGCATGCTTCATATGAAGAGAGACTGAGAGAGCTGGGACCATTCAGCAGAGAAAGGGCAGTCCAGGGGGTATCTTATCAATGTGTATAAATACCTGATGGAAGAGAGTAAATAAGATGGAGCCGAACTCTTCCCAGTGCTGCTCAGTGACAGGACAAGAGGCAATGCGCAAAAATTAAGAAACATGAAATTGCACCTGAGCAGAGGTAAACATTTTACTGTGAGAGTGATTAAACACTGGCACAGGTTGCCCAGAGAGGCTATGGTGCAGCCTCCAAATGTGAGGATATTCAAAATCTGGCTGGAGGCGGTCCTGGACAACCTGCTCTAGCTGAGCCTGCTTGAGCAGGGGAGGTTGGGTTAGATGATCAAGAGGTCCCTTCCAGCCATCATAATTCTGTGATTCTGTTATCTCATAATACAGCTACCGTTTCTTCATTAGTAAAATAATGCAAATGTACACCAAAATAAGAGTTGGTAATACGAATATTAAGTACAATTTGTACTACTTTATATGCTGAATAACCATGGTTTGGCATTAAACAAGAGATGTAAACCAGCCAGTCTTTAGAGCATTTCATGTTAGTTCAGGTACTTAACTATACCTTTTCATACATGAAAAGCTCACTATAAAGGACATCAGAATGAAAAGCCATAATATAATGAATCCAACTTACTGAGAAGTGGGAAGCAAAGGTAACATAACACAGATACTCGTGTGCACAACCATTTGTGCTGTAATTCAGACTTCATATTTCAATCAAGTTGTTTCATTTAATTAAAGCATTCATAAAACATTACTTAAGGAAGAAGTTCTTTACAGTGAGGGTGGTGAGGCACTGGAACAGGTTGCCCAAAGAAGTGGTGAATGCTCTATCCTCGGCAGTGTTCAAGGCCAGGCTGGACAGAGCTTTGGATGACATGGTCTAGGGTGAGGTGTCCCATGGCAGGGGGTTGGAATTAAATGCTCTTAAGGTCCTTTCCAACCCTAACCATTGAGTATCTAAACACGGAAAAAATCTTCTACTAACCAGATACTTCCAGATCTTTTTATTTGATAGTATTTTTTAAAAACTGATTTATCAACAGCATCCAGAAAGCCACATGGGTCATACCGGTTTATCAGAGTAGGCACAATAAATGACTGTAGGTTCAAAACTACACATGCACACTTGTCTCAGCTGAGTTTAAAAGACAAGTTTTTACAGGGTTCTCGGTGGGTTTATAAAATATATTCCCAATATGGCCTAATCAGTTTTGTTGTTCAATTTGCTGATCAAACTATTATAGTCTGATCTCCTGCAGAACAAGAAACGGCAAATGGTCTGGTATTGCAGAATTTTGCTAATTTAGCTATTTACTACCAAAATTTACCCAGATTTTTCAAGCCCTTTCTGTATTTTAGAGAGAAATATGTCTCTATCTATGTTCTGTACTTCTCTGATGCCCTTACTGATTTGTATAAGAATGTTATCCAGTAGGGAGCTAATTAATTAAAATTACAGATCAGTTCCTCACAATTTCTAGCTTCACTCTGGTATTGCTATCATTGCATTTTATGCAAATAATTGTCTTTTGTATAGCATACACCTTACCAAAAGAAAAAAGAATGTAGGGGGGAGGGGGATGAAGAGAAGAAGAGTACCTGTTTGTAGAGCCAGCCACGTCTGACAACTGGTGCATTAGGATTTCTCTTTATTGAGTTTGATCTCTTTCCGAAATTATGAACCTTCTTTGAAGATCGTGATGTCTAAATTGAATTGAATAAAGAAAATATCACATCAATATCTGTTGAAAAAAATCACAGCACATTTTCTTTTAAGTTTTCATAGACAAGTTCCTCTGGGGGACTGCAGAATACAAACTACATTCCATTTTTAGATAAGTAATTGTTATGATGGTTCTGCTGGATTCAGCATTTCTTTCTTCTTCCTATTCAGAAAATTTAAAGACAAATCCCAAGACAAGTACTTAAAGATTCTCTTAACAAGAAAAATCTACCAAATAGATATCTGACCCTCTTATAAGGTAGGAAGAAAGCCTACCAAGGTGTAGAAAGAGAAGTAAAACTAACAGACCTATTATTAGTTATGAAAAATTACATCACCTAGGCAAGAAAATTCTACTCTTTGCTGCTTCCAGCGCCAACCTAATACATGAAAACTTGCTCAGATTTCAAGAAGATACAACTGCTTCTTTCCTAAAAATATTACAATTTTTCTAATTCTTTCTTCCCTCTCAAAAACCCTTTGTTCTGTGATCTATTGGCTGGTTTGTATATTATTTTACCTGCTTGCATGAAGGCCTGCTTTGAAACTTTAGCCCTGAAACTCACATCTACTGTTGCTTATACGTTTACCTATCTTACAGCTATGCTATGACCACAGATAATTAAGAAAAGTGCGATAAACAACCCATTTTAGATTTTATCATCCTTCTACTTGAGTAACCAACAGAAATAGGAAGGGCATAAAGAAACATGCAGCACTTCGACAATTCACATTTCGTTCTTTTCAGCCTACATTTATGAAGTTTATTCAGCAACGAAATGAGCTGAACTTGTGTTTACTTGTGTTTTAAATCCTTTAAGAATTGGTGCCTCAGAGACCATGTGATGTGATACAGCAAAGCATCCCACTCTGCAAAAGTAAAGTTCAAGTAAGTTTTTTAAGCTGTGTTCATGGCTCTGCTCCAAATTCACCATTTGATTTGAGACACTATAATCCTGTGCTTCAGCTTCATCATCTCTACTACTGAGACTAATCATAAGGTTATGCAAAGTTCCTAAAGGAGGAAGGCTAAACAAACACTCATTTTTTGTTGCAAATTAGAGTATGGGATTTCTCTATGGGAGTTCTCTCAACACACATCACAGAACTGAGCTGGGTTTTATACATGCTTCAGAGAGAATTCCACAGCAGGTTAAAAATCATAAACTGAAAACTTCAAGTTAAAATTACGTGCAGCTTTTGTCAACAATGCCATTAACTGAAGAATACAATATAACTTAGCCAAAATGGAATAACTTTACAAGAGCTATGTGCATTTGCCTTAAGCCTACAACACAATGAGACCAGACTGTTTCATATCTCTTTTTTGGGGAAAAAAAAAAAAGAAGGGGGGGTGAGGGATGAAATGTAAAAAATGCAGTGCTTTTAATTTCCCTTGGAGATACAGAAATTTGACTCAGCTCTGTTTGGAAAGCAAGACAGAACAAGCAATTGAAATCTAATTAAAAATAAATGTAAAAATGTTTCACATTTTCATCTGAAAAATTCTACCAGTACAAAATGGAAAAAGGTTCATAAGAAGCCAGGAGAATTATGACATCCAGCTGTAAGAAAGGAATATACAGAGAACCTTTAACAATCCACAGCACATTTTAATGTCAACTATGTCTATCTCAGTTAACCCGTATTGCTACTATATTGGAATATCACTCAAAAGCTGTGCCAAGATTTTGATCAGAAAGGATTTATAACACTCATATCCACTCCAGTATTAGGTATTAAAAGTTCAAAACCTCTCAAGAATGTTCCAGACATTCTATACTTGTAAAATTGCTAATGCATTAAGGATGCTTCTGAAACCACAACCAACCACAAGTACTACTACTAAGTCTACTAACAAAATCAGGTAATTTAGATAGGTATCTCTTAAGTAGGTCTGATAATAAACCATATTGACTCCAATTTCATTGAGGTCACAGCAAAGTTTTAATGGATTACATCTTACCAACTGTGAATACAAACTTCCTTTAATTAAACACAGCATCACAAGTACTTTCTAATTTTACTTAATACAGAAAACACTTTAGATGACTCATTATTTTACCACACACTGCATAAAGAGAGTAACTGTTCACTACAAATTCTAGGCCTTGAGACAATGAGTATTTTAGGATATTGAAATATCAGAGTTGTAGATATAAACTAATTACGAGTTGTTAATCTTTTTCAATCACCTCCTCCTCTTGTTATGTTTGGGGGCCCTGGCCATCCCATGTTTTCTCACACATGTATCTAATATATCACAAACTGAGGAAATAGGAAGAAGGGAAAAACCTAAGAATTGAAGGGTTCAACTACTTTTTTACCCCATAGCACTAACATGTAGGCTATGTTGCACAGCTTCAGCTTCTACAGAAGGCAAAGAGAAAAAAAGGATAGTAAATGAAGGGTCCAACTTCTAAGCACCTGGTAGGTACAGCAGATAATAGAGCTATCAAACTTATAGTCGCATCTGGGACCATCTGACCTGTTCTAAGAAATGGTCCTGGCAGCTATGAAGCCTCCAAAACTAGAACCTATGGGAAAGACCTTGTACAGTTCCAGTGCTGAGAAAGAAATCTGAGAATCCAGCCAGTGACATTCACTCTTTCCCAGACCTGAAGAAGACAAACACCAGTTGGGTTTTGATCTCTGGGCAACAAACCAGTCAGTACCGGGGCTGCACAATTTATCACTCTGCAAGCTGCTTTTCTCTCTGCTTACTGGCAGAGGCCACAGAATTTACATGGGGTTTCTTCCCCAGTTCCAGAACTAGCACAAAAGTAAGTAATTAACACTAAACTTACTGCGTCTATACTTGAAAAACATGGGTTGACAACCTTTCTGATAAGTAGATTTTCTGCATGTGAACTCAAAGTATGGAAATTGAAATCTTTGTTACTTTTAACTTATGTTTAAAAATATATTTCCAGTCTTCAAGGCATACATTATCTTCCAAACCACAAACCAACCATGACGCTGCCTTCTGGATTTTGTAGGCAATTTAAATGCCTACAAAATAGTTGCAATTTTTCATGATCTGAGTGTGTTTCTGCCTCAGCATTTTAGCTTGGACCAGAAGGTTGCTCTTGAAGCAAATCTCCCAATCATTCACTCTTACTGTGCTTTGGTTTACATAGTAGAGCAAACTGGACTTATGTTAGATAAGACTAAAATGCAAGATGCTGTCGTGGTTTAACCCCAGCTGGTAACTCAGCATCACGCAGCTGCTCTCTCACCTACATGACCTAGGAATCTCCAGGACTTTTCCCCAAGAATTTTCCTAAGAAACCAAGACTTCAACTTCTGGTCCAATGACAGCAAATCATGTCATTTGCCCTTCAATTTTACTAGAGTCACCTTCCATCTCTCTTGTAATTACTTCTTACGCACAATTATAATTCTATTTTACCTGAAGATCTAGTCAATTGTTTGTGACCAAGCAATTTCCGTAACAATGCTTACCCAGATGTCTGATCACTCAACATTTTGCAGCTTACACAGAATAGAAAGCTCAGATTCTGCTAACAATTTAAGTGCATGCAAGTCATAAGAGCTGCGATACCTGGTAAAAAAATACAGTTTCAGTGGTAACTTGTTTCAGACACTTCAGTTTCCAAATTAAACATGAAACGAGCCAAGTGCCCTGGAAAAGATATATGCTTTGTTTTGCTTTTTTCTATGGAATACCAATATATCACACTGTCTAGTACCTTGTGGTATAACTGAATAATTTTAATGTTATTTTAATTTGGACATAAACACTTACTCTGCCCAAAGGGCTCATTGGATGAGCAGCATAATCCGATGTCACATTATAGTTAGTTGCTTCACATATCATGCTTATTGGTCGCTCCTTCTTTTCCTCAGATGTCATTGCTGCAGCAGTCCTGAAAATAGAATATGTAATAGCACTAGAACATGCTGTGTGTGCAGACTGCTATTAAAAAGCACCCCTAGATGTAGCCTAACACAGCCTGTGTCCTACTTTTCCAATTTAAAAGCAATTCACACTTCATTGTAAAGTTACCTGCACTGTGTTTTAAACTTAAATCTATTATAAATGAATTTTAAGATGTTTTAAAATAGGATTTCTCTATTAGCGTAAGGTGTTGGTGGGAGGGAAGACGACAGGTATGAGCATGAGATGGAAATGGGAAGAAATGCTCACAAAGACCCCATATGGCGTTGTCCCACTTCAGTGAGGACATGCAGATTTGTGAAATTCTACATATTGCAGTTCTGATGGTTTGCACACTAGCCACCATATAACATGTTGCAGCAATGGTGGTGAGCAGGACACCCAATACCCAGCCGTATATAAAATACTGAGGACAGGTATGACTTCCATGCATACCTTTTCATATTATTGTGTATTCTACAAAACTAATGCAAAGATAATAAAACCAAGTTATTACCCAACGATCCAGAAAGTGTCTCGACAGGCCAAGAAAATAACCAATTAAGGAGACACTATCAGGCAAAACATGATAAAGGCACATGAATGTCCCTATGTGATTAAAAAAATTATTCCTTTCTGAAAGTTTATTGGATTATTATATAAAATATGTCATTTGCTAACACTACAGAACAAGTAAAGTGGTTAAGTGGCAATTCACACTGCATTAACACAGTGCATTTCTACTGTACAACTCATTTGGGCTCTGCTTTTTATCTTAAAGATTAGTATTAATATTTAATATTATTATGAAATAATTTAAACAAGTAAAACTTTATACACACTAATCTGACTTGGAAAAATAAATACTGAAATTATCAATCACTGACTCTTACTTCAATATTAGTAAGTTTTAAAACAGCTATTTTACAGACTGAAACAGATGCCACTTACTGTTCATTCACAACAAAAATACAGTTGTCCTGCGATGGCTGTCCTGTGACTGGATGTTTGCAGGTTACTTTTCGTTCATTATGACTGTGAGAAAGAGATAAGAAAAACTGTTAGGCAATATTTATTTTTATTTTCCAACTCAAGTATATAAATCCAGCACATAGATTATATCAGCCCAGTGAAAATATTTGTATTTCATTTATGGCATATAACAATGTAGGTGTACACACACACACACAAATGCATATATATATGTAAACTAATAAAAAGGTTTATAACAAGCACTAAAGAATCTTCATTGATACTCTAGAGAGAGATGGAAAACATTGGCACTGGGTTGGAAATGGTTTTGAATTAAAAAACTAGAGCAGTAAGAGTGTTACTAGTTCATATATAACCACCAATAATTCACTTCAGCTAAGTCTCTATGTATTCATAAACAGGATTTCAGATAGACAGGGACAGGTTAAACGTAAGACAAACAACTGCTCTGTAGGGATAAAATACCACTCTCAGTATTGAGTGATTGGAACAAGAGTGATGCATCACAATCGCAGTTCTGCTGGTGACTTTTTAATTCAGAATGCTACTCCCCTGCAGCGATTTTGGGAATACCTTCAAGTGGCAGGGAGCCTACTGGTGGAGGGCTTCACCCTCATCAGCACAAGCCACTCACTTTGCAGTATCTCGTTCCCCTGAGCTGCAGGTGTTGCTACATCACAGCAGCTCCCACAATTTGGAAGAAATTGCCAAAATTCAACAACTATCAGCCACTGCCACTCAAGAAGGAAATGTTTGACTTGATCCCTAGAGGGGAAGGAAGAGAAGGGGAGGAATTGCTTTTACAGCCTACTAGATATGTCAATCAGCTGACAGTTATAATATGTGCCTGCTGCAGCCTGGGGCTTTTCTACCTAAGCCTCCATGGAAGTGGCAGGGTCTCAGTGTCAGTTATGCTCCAAGCTGGTACAGCAGCAAGACTGTGCAAGTATGAGAGGCAAGGGTAGCTGAACTGCAGCAACCCCCACTGAGCTCTTCAGCCCCAGAACGTAGGAAAGAGAGCAGGAAAGGTGCACTGACAAAATTTAAGCCTGGTTCAGTGATTAAAAAGCATACAAGCAGAAATCAGACACAGATGTGTTATTTGGGTAACACCCACATGCTTCAAAACAAACTCACCTCTTCTGTTTTTAACACTTTCAGTAATATTTATAAAGAAAAAGTATGTAATACAAACCCACCAGTCTTGGAAATCACCACTGTAAATCACAAAGAAAGTAATTCCATTTGATAGTATTTACTTTTGTAAAGAATATGTGATGACAATCTTGTTCATGTAAGGTATCTTACATAATACTATGCCTTTCTTATCACAAGTTCAGCCTTGAAAAATATTACTGGACAGTGAATAAATGGGAAAAGAAAAAAACTGCTTTAGTTGCAAGATAGCAGAAAAGGTGCAGAACAACAAAAGCTTTGAATAGCACTTTATCCTTAACACATACTTCTTTTATTGCCTATTCATTTAACCATCTTAGCTTCCAGAACCATGAAGCACAGCTCATCTCGCAAATATTATACTCTCTACCCTTCCTGCTTAAAGCAATCTACACTTAACAAGACCATCCTAATGTTTCCAAGTTTTCTGAAAACTCCTTTGGATCATAACACTCTGCAACTATCTAGCATTACTAATTAAAAATTACCTCTAAGCAAAATCTTAATAAAAGAGTCATGCTACCTTTATGGTCAATGGATAGTTGGATAAATATGCATAAACCTGAAGTGCAAGATTAGAAAGATAGCCCAATTCTTTGCACTTTCTTTACTGGGATTTTAAAATCTTCTTAATACCTAAATGGAGAGATGTGTTATGGAGCTTAACTAATGAGCTAGCTATCACAGGTACTTTATCTTCACACTAAATTCAGCAGAATTCTAAGTTTAGCTTCTAAATAAGCTTCCTGCTGCAGAAATGCATCCATTAGAATGAGGGGACAGGAAACAGATGACCAAGTTTGTCTAAGCCATCCCTAATTGCCATGGTCGTACAATGCCTTTCAAATGAAAATGGCCCAGATTGAAGAGAATTAAGATTCAAAATATTCCTGAGGAAGCTTCCAGGGGTTTTTGTGATTCCTATTTTTCTTCACTTTAAAAAAACTTTTTTTCCCCTCTCTGACATTTCAGAAACTCTCACACCAAACTAAAAAAACAAACAAACAAACCCAAATTAAAATCACAGTCATGATCTCGCATTCCACAAGCTTTTCCAAAACACTGTCATCTTAATCACATAAAACTTTGACAGCTGGCTATCAGCTAACACCCAGAAATGGTTTTGCATGAGTGCACCTGGCTCACACTGACACAGGACGAGGCCATACTCGAAGAATGTAAAAGCGAGGTCATAAAAAAACCAGGAGGGAAAGCAGGAAAGGGGAAGAGAAGAATAGAGAGAGGAGAAGAGAGGAAGCACTGACACAAACCTATTCAAGAATATTTTGTTTCAGGCTTGAGTCATATATCAAGTCAGTATTCCAAAAATATAAAACCATTTTTGGACAAAATACAGTTTTCCTTACTACTCACACTGGTGTTGAGATGTATAAAGGGGTAGCCAACATTATATAAAAAAGGCAAAAAAATACTGTAGACATGAAACAGTCCTGTGGGATATACGATACTTGTTTTCTAACAATTGAGGGACCCTTCCTTCTAAAAAGGCGAGAACAACCTTTTCTTCCTCTTCAGCTTAGGCACAAGTGGAATTGCCTAAGTGAACACTGGAAATTCAGCTTGTACAACTAAGTGTGACAATTTTAAGTATGTCTAGCTGTTATGAACATGTTTTACATACTTCCATTTGAAAACTTTCATTACTCATCTGAACTATTGCATTTTTTGCGTTAATTTAGCTGATATTTTGACAAGACACCTCCAAATACTCGCGTAAGGTGTAGACTAACTTAGTAATTATTGTCATAACCCTCCCACATAACAGTAGGTTAAAGCATTCGTTTTAACCTTGGTCTTGCAGACTACAGAGAGTTTCATTAAAATGAAGGTATTTGCCATCTTCAATATGCGATTTAGACAGTTGTTCGCTATAATAATACATATTTCATCAGTAAATCTAAGAGGAAATAAAGAAAACTTTTTTTTTTAACTGAGAACTCTAATTTCAATTTTATAGTGTAATTCAGAGGTTCAGCTCTGCATATTTATGTGTCTGTACTTCTATTACATGGTAAAGAGTGATTCACTTTGACAAAGGCAGCTAGAAGCCAGTGTGGTAACTTTTTGGTTATGTAGAGATACAGCCCCCAAGACGTATATGGAAACAACACTCCTTTCTCTGTCCAATTTTTCATATCAGCATGTTTTGAGAACACAGGGTAACAATATAAACACACACACTGTTGCACATACACTGAAGGATATAACTGACCCTTACTATTTTAGCATCCATAGTTAGGTAGGATTAATAGCATACTAAACACTAGAGCCAAAGACAAAAAATTCCGTCTGTATTTTGTTAGTATTCATGAGCATACTCTCCAGACTCAATACATGGCACAAACTATTATTCATTAATATTTGCTACTGAGATGTGTTGTGCTCCAGAAACCAACACAGCTGACCAAGATGAGAGATAAGCATTTCAATGCAAAATAAAGCCTAGTTCTTGCATGTGTCAAGATAATAGTCCATTCCTGATTCCAGTAGTGGCCTGGGACAATGACCTACTATGAACGGATAAACACCAATACAAACCAAGCCAACAATAAATAAATAAAACTCCCTACAACACAAACCCACCAAAATAGCTCACACAGGGACAAGTTACATTTTTAGCTGACTTGCTGCAAGCCAACAAGATACCAATTTAACAGGACCAACTTAACTTAACCTCTTTTCTCCAGAATTTTTAAACTTCTTCCCAAACCTTTCCTCTGAACTCTGTGAGCTTTGGCATCACCTAGCAGGTAGCTTAGCTTTGGCACATGGACAAGCCTTCAGAGCAAAAGGATTTATCTTGTTCAGGTTATAAGTTGACAGTAACCTTGAATCTAACTCATGTTATTTGCCTTCTTATCTACTCTCTTTCTCCTTTCCACCCATTGAGACTCTTTTATCTCTTCAGAAGACAGGACTGCTTTATTTGTTTTCTAGACATGTTCAAAAAACCTTGTTGTGTAGTTTTAATCTACTCACTAAACACACAGTCAACAGCAAGCTTTTCGATGGCCGAATGTGATCCAAGGAGTAATAAAAAAAAAAAAGACTTCACTATATCATTCAAATATGCTATTCTATTTGTAAGTAGCAACAGAATGCATAATTCCAGGAGCAGTACTTGCCAAAGGAAGTCCTACACAAACAGGACTGTTTGTTTGGTTTTGTTCTATCTTGTGTTTTAAAAGACAGCTGAGCCAAAAATGCTGTGTAAAAATGTTCTGTTCTGAAACAGACACCACTGCAAAACAAGCAAATTCGAAATTCTGTCCAGTTTTGACCTTTTAAAACTACTATCACCCTTAACAGAACCAGGACTTTTTGCATAGGGAATACTCAGAGAGTTGGAATGGAAAAAAAGAAATGAGTATTCCAGTCGTACAGGAGGATGCACACGATGAAAAATTAAGAGGTAGACTATCTTTCCTCTGAACAGACCAGTTCACTCAGAAGATCAAAGGACTAGGGTGGGATCAGTTGGTTTGGGGTCTGTCCATTGTATGATTTGGTCAAATTCCCTGTACTCTAAAAAAAAAAAAAGAAAAAGAAAAAAAAGAAAATCTGGGCCAGAACTCCCAAAGAAACATCTGTTTTTCTCCCACTAAAATGAAAACTAGATGCCACTTCAAAGCTTCTTTCATGCCCTTTCTTTGTAGACTTTATTTATATGTTCCTAAATGCTAAGGCCTTCTCATTTGCTCATTCTCAACACCATCAAAGTAAAGGGTGAGTTCTACTTCACTGAAAAAACACAAACAAAATCATAAACCAGGGTACAACTTTCAACAGGGCTTCACATCTCTAATTTAGAAAGACTGTTTCTTTTCACAAGTGAACACCGAAAG